CTGACGTAGGCCTTGGGATTTCACACAGGAGATAGACAAAATCACTATTTTGACAATGTTAGTGGTTGGTGGCCTTGAGCAGGCGTAGACCCACTTGAAGGTCACTGGAGTTGCTTAAGTCAGAGATGCTGCTGGCCTGAGAAGTGGCAGTGAAAAGGGAGAAGAGGGGAAAAGAAGAGAGATTTAGTTAGAAAATGGTAGGAGTTGGTGAGCAAATTGAGAGGGGTGAGATTGGAGGAGGAGGAGTGAGGGGAGGGCGAAAATAGTAGAACTCTAGAATGAGTGAGATTGAGCATCTAGATGGAGGGTGAGGCTGTCAGGCGAAGTAAGAACTGAAGGAAGAAGAAGAAGCTTGGCTTCAGTTTGAAACTGAAGCAGTTTGACTTCGGGTGACTTAAACTGAGGAATACCCAGGTAATTGTGTCCCGTTAGTGGGTGAAAATACCAGCCTAGAGCTCCAGGGAAAGATCAGGACTAGGCATCTGCATGTTTAGCCAACTGCCTGCTAGACACAGTTGTAGAGAGTGACTGAGGTCGTCTAGGAGAATATATACATGCAAAAGAGCAGCCACGGTACTGAGGAGCACGAGTACGAAGACGATGATGATGCCCTCGGATGTAAATGAATGCAGCAGAGAGGTTTGTTTTGTTGATGGGTGCATCCCCAGCACTCTCTAAATACTCATGAAATGAGTGCAGGCAAAGGAGATCCAGCATCACAGGTGTCTGGAAGCATCACAGGCAGAGAGGAGAACTGGCATTGACCAGTGTGACCAGTCCAGGGAAGGGTATGTTCAAGAGAGAGAGAGATTCCCCTGCTGCTGAGAGCAAACTTAGGCGACGACTGGGAACTTTTTTTTAATTAGGATTTGGGTGAAGATTTACAGAGTAAATTCACTTTTCATACAGCAGTTCACATATACTTTGTCTCATGTCATTGACCAAAATTTACAATGCAGCAGCTCCCCTCCCACTTCCTCCCCATAGTTACCTCCTCCCAGTGTCCATCCCTTCATACTCTTCGAGAGGCCCATTGTCTGCCAACCCTGTATATGATCTTGGATACACTCTCCATTTAGACATACATAATTGTTTAGCTTGTTCACCCATCTATCCGTCCCTATACCCATGTTTGCTTTCATTGACAACTCAGTATTGTATTTGCAAAGGGGTTCATATTTGTTGTTTGTACTGCCCATGTAACTCTCTCTGTCTTTCTCATCCTCAATGCTGCCATATTGGTCACTCACATTTGGTACATTGCCCTTCTCTTCACCCAAATCAATATTTATCTCTATCTATCTAACAGCATTCCCTCCCCTTCCCTCCCACCCCTGGTAACCAACAAAGAAAATGTCCTCCAATATATAAACCTTTCCTTAACTTTCACAATAACGGACTAATACAATATTTGTCCTTTTGTGACTGACTTATTTCGCTCAGCATAATGTCCTCCAAGTTCATCCACGTTATGCGGTGTTTTGCAGATTCTACATTATTCTTTAGCGTTGCATAGTATTCCATTGTGTGAATGTACCAAAGTTTGGTTATCCATTCCTCAGTTGTTGGACATCTAGGTTGTTTCCAAGTTTTGGCTATTGTAAATAGTGCTGCGATGAACATCGGCGTGCATATATCTGTTCTTGTTATGGCTCTCACTTCTTTAGGGTATATACCTAGTAATGGGATGGCTGGGTCAAATGGTATTTGTATTTCCAACTTTTGAAGGAATCGCCATACTGCTTTCTACAATGGTTGTACCATTTTACAGTCCCACCAGCAGTGTATGAGAGTCCCAATCTCTCCACAACCTCGCCAGCATTTGTTATTTTCTGTCTTGTTGAACTTTGATACTAGTGCTGGAGCAAGATGGTATCTCATTGTTGTTTTGATTTGCATCTCTCTAATAGCTAATGATCATGAGCATTTCTTCATATGTTTGTTGGCCGCTTGAATATCCTCCTTGGTGAAGTGTCTGTTCATGTCTTCTGCCCATTTTTTAATTGGATTGTTTGTCTTTTTGTTATTGAGGTGTTGGAGTGTTCTATAAATTCTAGAGATAAGTCCCTTGTCAGATATGTTATTACCAAATATTTTTTCCCAATCTGTAGGTTCCCTTTTGACTCTTTTGGAGAAGTCTTTGGAATCACATAAACATTTAATTTTTAGAAGGTCCCAATCATCTGGCTTCTCTTCTGCTGTTGGTGCATTTTGAATTATGCTTGGTAGTCTATTTATACCAAATATTAGGGCCCTTAAGTTTGAGCCTAAATTTTCCTTGAGAAACTGTATAGTTCTAGGTTTCACATTTAAGTCTTTGATCCATCTGGAGTTTGTTTTTGTGTGTGGTGTGAGGTACAGATCTTGTTTCATTTTTCTGCAAATGGATCTCCAGTTTTGCCAGCACCATTTATTAAACAAACATTCTCTTCCCCATTTAATGGATTTGGGGCCTTTGTCAAAGATCAGCTGACTATAGGTCGATGGATCTATACCTGGGTTCTCAATTCTATTCCATTGGTCTATGTATCTGACATTGAACCAATACCAGGCAGTTTTGACTACTGTGGCTGTATAGTAGGTTTTGAGATCCGGCAATGTGAGACCTCCTACTTTGTTTTTCTTGGGAACTTTATTTATTTATTTATTTACTTTATTGTGCTTTTGGTGCAAATTTATGAAGCAAATTGGTTTTACGTTCAACGGTTCGTGCACATTTGATTGCACGCCCTGATTACCGTCGCCAACCATAACAAGCACTCCTGCCCTCCCTGTGGCCACCTCTTCCCTGTGCCCTTCCTAACTATGCATCCTGTTTGTCCAGTTTCCCCTCCACGTGAATGCTGCTCCTCTGATATCTGGTGGCCTGTTGATCTAGGGGTGCATCTCCCTAGAGAGGTGAGTGCATCGCCCTCCGGTAGGTGTTCTGCATGTAGGTCTTTCTGCTGTTGGGCTGAGAGCCAACCTATGGGAATGAGTCCATTTCTAGGCCTGAAGGATAACCCAGGGCCATAGGCTCTGGGATTCTACCAGTCTCTATCTGACCAGTAATTCTGGTCATTTTTGTATTTCTGAATTTTGCACCACATTTTCCCTCCCACTCTATCCAGGATCTCCACTTTTGATCCCTTTCCAAGTGGTTAGCATTGGTAGCCGGGCACCATCTAGTTCTTCTAGTTTTGGGGTCGTGAAGGCTGAGGTCCTCATGGTCCCTCTTATCCTTGGACTAATTGTTTCCCGGTGCCTTTGATTTTCTTCGCTCTTCTTTGCTTCAGATGAGAGGAGACCAATAGTTGCATCTTAGACGACCACTTGAAAGCTTTTAAGACCCCAGTCACTGCTCACTAAAATAGGTTGTAGAATGAGATTGTTATGTACTATGTTGTGCCAATTGAGTACATATAGGCCCCTGAGACTGTATTCCTGAGTTCACAGGCCCGGTGATTCTCTCAAGGTTTAGTTGTCTCTGAGAAGTTACTCCAACTCTGTCTTCTTTTGCTTCTGTAATGTATGTGGCTAATTTGGTAGCACAAGTGCATACATAAAATTATCTTCAGCCATATCTATCCTTGGTCTATGGTATATCCTGTTCACCTATCCCCACCTGATCTTCTCACCTGTCTAAGCATTTACCCATAGCCTGGTGTTTGGAGTTAGTGGTAATGCAATATTGTGCATGTAATAGTATTTGTCTCTGTTGTCTATATGTTATGTGCATGTTTCAGTGTCCTTCCTTTCCCCGATGTCATCACGATGTTCACAGACTCTTTCCATACTGTCCCTCCCCTCACCCAAATCAACATGTGACCCCCTGCTAGTCCAAAGTTTTCCCTCCCCTTCCTGGTAACCAATAAAGTGAATTTCCTTCCCTGAGTAAACCTTTTCTTGATTTTTTACAGTAATGGGTTCCTACAATATTTGTCCTGTGATTGACTTATTTCACTCAGCATAATATCCTCCAAATTTATTCACATTGTGAGATGATTTGTGTATTCTTCATTATTCTTTAATGTTGCATACTATTCCATTGTGTGAATGTACCATAGTTTGGTTGTCCATTCATCTGCTGATGGGCATTTAGGTTGTTTCCATCTCTCTGCTATAGTGAATTGTGCTGCGATGAACATGGGTGTGCTTGTGTGTTCATGGAGAACTGGAAACTTTTAATTACCAGGCCATCAACCTTTAAGAGAAGTGCTTTCAGTTGGATGGGGAGGGTATGGAAAGAGGAAGTTAAGTTTCAGGGAATTGAAGAATAGGTGGAAAGGAAGATACTAGGAATAGATCCCAGGTGGCCATCTGGTTGACGAATTAGAAATAACCCTTATTTGGATTATGGAGACGGATTTTGACACTTGCAACAAAACCAATCAGATTCCACTTTGGTCTATGACAGTGGTTCTCAGAGTGTCCTTCCCAGGCCAGCCACCTGGGAAGCTGTTAAAAAAGCCAGCTCTCAGGTTTTACCCAGACCTTCTGAATCAGGAACTCTGGAGAGTGGTTAGGAGCACTCTGGGTGATTCTGAAGTTTGAGAACCGCTGGCCTGAGATAGAAGTTTGAGAAATATGAGCTCATTTGCCTCTGAAGAGTGAGCTTCTGAGAGAGTCCCCAGCCGAGGAGCCAAGATTGGTGGGAGAAACCTGTCAGAGAGGAAGGGAAGCTCTGTGTCTGCAGTGGAGCCAGGCTGGGCTTTGATTTGAGCTATAGAACCAGGAGCTGAGCTGTCTCCTCTCCTTCTCTGAGCCCCTAATTTCTTGTCGCAACATAAAACAGCGTTATCTAAGGACATGCTCTGCTGGAATAGAATGTGATGTTCCTTTTACTTGAAGCCTGAATTCCCTGGTTCTCTTTCTCTGTCCTTAAAATACCTTCTCATATTTTAATCTGTGGTTTGCCGGCGGGGTGCAGCTGTTGAAAGCTCCTGAGATGCTGGCAGATGTTTCCCCTAATACTACTGCAAGTTTATCCAAACTTTTTTTTTTTTTTTTTGTCCTACCAGGTCTGTGAGCTGGATATTATCTTTAATTTTGAAAAGGCATATTTTATCCTGGATGAGTTTATAATAGGTGGAGAAGTTCAGGAGACATCCAAGAAATCTGCTGTGACAGCCATTGAGGATTCTGATATGTTACAGGAGGTTAGTACAAAGTTACCACCCTATGGGGAGAAAGGGGGAGAAGAAGATGATGATTGTAATATGGTGGAACCTGGGAAAGCTGGAACTCAACAGAACTGCCTGATTTTTCTGGATCTCGCAAGTTTTCCACCTTTGACAAGGTGCAGGTGCAGTCTTACTACTTTTCTATCTTTCATTTAATGGAAAATGTTTGGGTTTTCCTTCTCTGCCAACACAGCTTCTGTCCTTTGCAGCTTTTACTGTATTAGGGAACACAAGTTGAGTACTTAAACCCTCCCGGGTGGTGCAAACAATTAACATGCTCGGCTCCTAACCCAAAGGTTGTAGTGGGAATCTACTCAGGTGCCTTGGAAGAAAGGCCTGGTGACCTGCTTTGAAAAAGAAACCAGCCATTGAAAACCCCATGGAGCACAGTACTACACTGACACGCACAGGGTCATCACCAGTTGTAATTGCTGGACAGCACTGGTATTGAGTACTTCCTCTGGGGCAGGTACAGTTCTAAACAAAGTAGGAACTTACTCAATTCTCACAAAAACTCTTCAGAGGTTGGTAGTAGTATCACCCTTGTTTTACAGATGAGTAAACTGAGTCACAGAGCACTTAAATGACCTGCCCAATGTTATAAAGCTAGGAAGTGTGTAATAGGGATTTGAACCCAGGCAAATGGGTCCCAGAGTCTTTGCTCTTCCTTTTTGGTTGAGCTTGTTAGTCAGGTCACCTCACTGTCTAACAATGTGTCAAAAGCCTGATGCTGTTATTTTCAAGAACAGGTTTATGAGATGTATAAAAAGACTTTGATTTAAAGATCTGCACCACCCTGAGAAAGGAGACCAGCACTTTGTTATTTCATTTGCCAGGGATATTAGAGCTTTATTACTGAAGATGGCATTTATCATTTTAATCAAAATTTCTTTCGCTTCTGGGGGAGGCCATATGTGTACTGCAGTTTCATAAATAAATTGGGAACACCGTGGCTTTCTTGCCACGGTGTAAATGGACCCTGAAGCACTGCTCTGGATCTCCTCTTGACTGTCCATGATTCTTACACAAAACACAATGAGACTTTCCTTAAAGCAGCCAGATTTGCACTAGACCTGATAGAACTTACTGGTGCCCGTTCCGAGCTCCCCAGGAGTCTTAAAGTAAGGAGGCAAAGTGCTTTGCCTTGCTTATCTTTGCCCTTGCAAATGAGGCGATCTGACCAGCCCCAGCCCAAGGCGGTATCAGAGGGCCTGCTTCGAAGTACTTCTTACAGCATCATGGGTTTTCAGCTTCCCATTTATATACTGTAGTCCCTGGATGGTGCAAATGCTTAACGTGCTTGGCTGCTGACTTCCGGGAGGTTCTAGTCCACCCAGAGGCATGTCAGAAGGAAGGCCTGTTGATGTACTTCTGAAAGATCAGTCAATGGAAAGCCTAAAAAGCACAGTTCTACCCTGATACATGGGGTCGCCATGAGTCAGAAGGGAGCTCTGGTGACATAGTGCCTAAGGCACTTGACTGCTCACCAAAAGGCTGGTGGTTCAAACCTACCAGCCACTCCTCGGAAGGAAGGTTGGGCAATCTACGTCCATAGTGATACTGCCTCGGAAACCCAAGGAGGGGGCTGCTATGAGTTGGATCCGACTCGACGGCAGTGTGTTTTGAGTCAGAATTGACTCGATAGCAGCTAGTGGTATTTTCATAATATTAAGACTAAACCCAAAACCAAACCCACTGCCATTGATTCTGACTCAGAACGACCCTCATTGAGTTTCCAAGGCTGTAAATGTTTACAAAAGTAGATCGTCTCATCTTCCTCCTGTGGGGCAGGTGGTGGGTTTGAACCACTGATCTTCTGATTAGCAGCCAAATGCCTTACCCTGTGTACCACCAGAGCTCATGACAAGAGGATCTAAAAGATTATAAAGTATCTTTTAAAAATTGGAGTTAGAAGCCAGTCTTCCTGCTGTTTGTAAGTAAGAGATTAATACAACAGCCTAAATTAAAACAACACTAGACATGATTTCCCAACAACTTTTTAGTCCACCTTTGAGCTGATGACTTGCTCCGACTACCAAGGGAAACAGCCTCAGGTGAGTGACGTAGAGAAAGGTGTCTATTTGAGTAGGCCCCACAAGAGACTGTGTGCCCATCAGCAGGCCATGCATTTGTTGCTTGAGGTTTTCCCACCTCAAATGCATTTGAATTTTCTGCTGCTTGCTTAGCTCTCACCCTGTGCCTCAGGAACAGAGTTTTACAGGGTGCTTGAGGCATCGGTGGCTTGGAATTCTACAACAGCCTTACTTAAAATATGCTGTGGGTTTTTTTATAATTTCACCCTCAGGTCCCTTGCTGTTGAATCTCCTTATAGGAGATACAGTCTTTTAAAAGGGTCTTTCTTCAGAACTGTTTCGTAATTAAAGCTCCTTGAATTGGGGCCAAGACACAGCTGGTTTGTTTTGAATTCCCCTCAAAAGGAAAGAGAATTTTAAAGAGCTTACAGTGTACGTGTTTTTTCTAGTGCTATTCAAATCTGGGAGACAGGTATTGAGAGAGAGAGAGAGAAAGAAAGAGAGAGGCCTTTCACTCCAGTAGGGTGAACACTAATTGGTAGTTCATGTCCTGGGTGATTGAGTGGAAATTCTTCATGGGCAGGCCTCAGGGGACCCTGCATTGAGCCCTGGTGTCCTTATAGTGAGCAGGCAATGCTATGGCTGCCCTCTGAATCTCTCTTGTTGTGAAAGAGTATTCTTAGTGGTCTCTCGGGCTTTGGTGCTCATTTCATCTAAATCTATTAACGTTAATGGAGCATGTTAAAAAATTGACTTTGTATATCTGTTTGCTTTAGAAAAGTTTGCAGTTGATACTGTTCTTATTAGGTTAGAAATCTTGTTGATTTTGACTCACAGCAACCCTCCATACAACAGAACGAAACACTGCCTGGTCCTGCGCCGTCCCTGCAGTTGTTGCTCAGTCCTTGAGCCATTGTTGCAGCCTGTGTCCATCCATCTTGTTGAGGGTTTCCCCCTTTTTGCTGACCCTCCACTTTACTGATCATGATACCCTTCCCCAGGGACTGCTCCCTCCTAATAACACGACCAAAGTACAAGAGACAATGTCTGACCAGTCCCACTTCTAAGGAGCATTCTGGCTGTACTTCTTCCAAGACAGATTTGACTGTCCTTCTGGTAGGCTGTGGTGTATTCACTATTCTTCACCAACTCCACAATTCCAATGTACAGTTTTTCTGCAAATTTCCTTATTTGTTGTTCAGCTTTCACATGCATATGAAACAATTGAAAAGACAGTGACTTGGGTCGGGGGCACCTTACTCTTCAATGTGACTTTGCTCTTTAACATTTTGAAGAGACCTTTTGCAACAACATAGATCCAAGTAAAATGAAATGCCTCCCTAACAACTTCAGTTTTTCCATTTATCATGATGTTGCTTATTGGTCCAGTTGTGAGGATTTTGTTTCTTTATGTTGAAGTGTAATCCATACTGAAGGCTTGGATCTTTATCAGTAAGTACTTGAAGTCCTCTTTGCTTTCAGCAGGTGAGGTTGTATCATCTGCATATTGCAGGTTGTTAATAAATCTTCCTGCAATCCTGATGTTTGTTGTTGTTCATATAGTCTACCAAATCAAAACCAAACTCACTGCCATCAAGTCGGATTCAACTCATAGTGATCACTCCTTGGGTTCCAAGGCAGTATCACTATGGAAGTAGATTGCCCAATCTTCCTTCCAAGGAGTGACTGCTGGCTTTGAACCGCCAGCCTTCTGGTTAGCAGTCAAATGCCTTAGGCCCTACTCCACCAGAGTTCAACTTCTCGAATTATTCACTGAGCGTACAGATTGAATAAGTATGGTGAAAGAATGCAGCCCTAATGCACACCCTTCCTGATTTCAAACTATGCAATATCCCCTATTCTGTTCAAGCACTGCCTCTCGATCTATGTACAGGTTCCTTGTGAGCACAGTTAAGTGTTCTGAAATTCCCATTCTTTGCAATATTATCCATAATTTGTATGATCCACACAGTCAAATGCCTTTGAATAGTCAATAAAACATTTTTGTTATTCTTTGCTTTCAGCCAAGTTCCATCTGACATCTGCATTGATATCCCTCATTCCATGTCCTTTTCTGAATCCAACCTGAATTTCTGGCAGTTACCTCTCAACATATTGCTGCAACTCTATTTGAATTATCTTCAGCAAAATTTTACTTGCATATGATATTAATGATATTGTTCAATAATTTCAACATTCTGTTTGATCACCTTTCTTTGGAATGGACACAAATATGGATCTCTTCCAGTCAATTGGCTGGGTAGCTATCATCCAGATTTCTTGGCATGAGCAAGTGAGCTGTTCCAGCATGGCGTCTGTTCATTGAAACATCTCAGTGGGTAGCCCATCAATTCCTGGAGCCTTGTTTTTTGCCAGTTCTTTCAGTGCAGGTTGGACTTTTTCCTTCAGTAGCATCGATTCTTGATTATATGCTACATCCTGAAATGATCAAATGTCAACCAATTCTTTTTGGTACAGTGATTTTCTCTATTCCTTCCGTCTTCTATTGATGCTTCCTGCATCATTCAATATTTTGCCCATAGAATCCTGAATATCACAACTCAAGGCTTGAATTTTTTCTTTAGTGCTTTCAGCTTGAGAAATGCCAAGTATGTTCTTGCCTTTTGATTTTCTAACTCCAAGTCATTGCACATTTTATTGTAATACTTTGTCTTCTTGAGCCACCCTTTGAAATTATGTGTTGAGCAATTTTGCTTCATCATTTCTTCCAGTCACTGAAGCTGCTCTCCATATAAGAGCAGGTTTCAGAGTCTCTTCTGACATCAATTTGGTCTTTTCTTCCTTTCCTGTCTTTTTAATGACCCTTTTCTTTATATGTGATATTCTTGATGTCATCCCACAATTTGTCTGGTCTTTGTTCATTGTTGCTTATTGCGTCAAATCTCTTCTTCAGATGGTCTCTCATTTCAGGTGAGATATACT